TTTTTAAAAATAAAAAAAAAAACAAAAAGCGTTAGTTCCAGTCTTTTACCGCTTGGGCGCAGCACTGGTCGCGACGATAAATGAATTTGATTGGTTAATAATTAACACGTGGTTTGTTTACACGATGAATGTTAGTTTGTTCACACGATGGATGTTTTTAAAAGGTAAGATTATCCAATCGCCGTGATACTTTAGGAAGTTATTTACTATACTACTGGGAAGATTTCTGGTTTGAATTTGATTTGAAATAAATATTCTTTGCAATTTTATTTGCAAATTTTCTACTTTCACTCGCAAGCAGCGCCTCTAGCGGCGTCTGGTGAAATTATATTTATAAATTGTAACAATGCTTAAAATGTTTTCCAAGTATAATAAATTTAATTTGAGAATTTAGTAATATAATATTCCAATGACGTAAAAAATACTTGGCATTTCAATATTAATATATATTTAAAGAAAAAATTGTAACGATTTTGTGTTAAATGTTAAAATGTAATGTTAAAATATATTTTTACATTGTTAATTTAATTTGCTGTTGTTTTATAAAAATGATGATGCAACTTTAATTGTTGTTCTGAAAATATCTTTATTTACGGAGCTGCTAACCACAATAAATGATTTTTGAGCCCCAAATTGTTGTTGTTTATTATCGTTTGTTTATATAAAAAATTTACATTGTATGTGATGATGATAACAAAAATGAAATTTTAAATTAATATATATAATTCATTGAGAAAAAAGAAATAATTAATTATCAAATTCACAAAAGTGTCAATATCTTATTTAAAATATAATAAATGTTTTCAAAAAATTATGTGTTTCAAAAATATATTTAAACGCATATAACAATATTTATATTTATATACGTTTATAAATCAATATATTATGTAGGTAGATTAGATGTTTTCTAGAATCGTTTTAACAAATGTTCGTTAGGCAAACTTTTACTGGGATAAAAACTATGCGAAGCCGGGTACATTCGCTAAATACAGTTATTTACAAATCTTCGTTTGTGGCAAGATACTATTCCTTCAACTTCAAATTACCGAGTGAACCAATTAATACTGATTTTTTTCAACTTATCGAGTATTTTTCAAGGGACCGGGAAAAAAATATCGAGAAGGTAGACAAGTATAGATTCAGTAGGGATTGGATGTTTGCTAGAATCGTTTTAACAAATGTTTGTTAAGCAAACTTTTACTTGGGGCGAAGCCGGGAACATATATATATATGTGAAAAAATAGTACAAATGTAACATTGTACTGGGATAAGGTGCATAAATCATGAAAAAAGAAAAAGGCATCTCCTTATCGTGCAACTGAAAGTTGCTGATGGCTGAGCGCCATCTATCGGAATAAATATCAACTATTTTCGTTGATTTTTTTATTCCATAATTGGCCAAATACCCATTCTTGATTAATCAAGAAAAGCTAACCACGGACGCGTTTCGGGCTGTTGGCCCTCATCAGCGTGGTGCAAGCTGTACCTCAAAGACCAAAAAAATTGGTCATTAAGGCATCCTGAAAAATCATGAAACGGGTAGTTAAGGCCAGAATTGCGTGAGGACTCTACACAATGTGAAAAAATAGTACAAATGTAACATTGTACTGGGATAAGGTGCATAAATCATGAAAAAAGAAAAAGGCATCTCCTTATCGTGCAACTGAAAGTTGCTGATGGCTGAGCGCCATCTATCGGAATAAATATCAACTATTTTCGTTGATTTTTTTATTCCATAATTGGCCAAATACCCATTCTTGATTAATCAAGAAAAGCTAACCACGGACGCGTTTCGGGCTGTTGGCCCTCATCAGCGTGGTGCAAGCTGTACCTCAAAGACCAAAAAAATTGGTCATTAAGGCATCCTGAAAAATCATGAAACGGGTAGTTAAGGCCAGAATTGCGTGAGGACTCTACACAATGTGAAAAAATAGTACAAATGTAACATTGTACTGGGATAAGGTGCATAAATCATGAAAAAAGAAAATAGTTGATATTTATTCCGATAGATGGCGCTCAGCCATCAGCAACTTTCAGTTGCACGATAAGGAGATGCCTTTTTCTTTTTTCATATATATATATATATAAAAAATGGCATATCCTGACCAGGAGCACATGTGCTTTGCAGAAGGCAGAGCGCCATCTGGTGGAACAGAAATCAACTAAACATTGATTTAGCCTGTTCCCTGATATTTGGCCAACCCAATTTCTTGATAAATCAAGAAAAGCCATCCACGAACGCGTTTCGCGCTTTTTGGCGCTCGTCAGCGTGGAGTAGGCTGAACCATTGCGACCAAAAAAGAATTTTTTGATCCCAATGGCTTCCCGAAAAACCAAGAAATGGGTATTTAAGGCCAAACTTGCGTAAATACGCTTAGCACATTAAAAAACGAAATAAAAAAAATAAAAGATAAAAAGATCAGGTGTTGAAATCAATATAAAAAATGGCATATCCTGACCAGGAGCACATGTGCTTTGCAGAAGGCAGAGCGCCATCTGGTGGAACAGAAATCAACTAAACATTGATTTAGCCTGTTCCCTGATATTTGGCCAACCCAATTTCTTGATAAATCAAGAAAAGCCATCCACGAACGCGTTTCGCGCTTTTTGGCGCTCGTCAGCGTGGAGTAGGCTGAACCATTGCGACCAAAAAAGAATTTTTTGATCCCAATGGCTTCCCGAAAAACCAAGAAATGGGTATTTAAGGCCAAACTTGCGTAAATACGCTTAGCACATTAAAAAACGAAATAAAAAAATAAAAGATAAAAAGTTCAGGTGTTGAAATCAATATAAAAAATGGCATATCCTGACCAGGAGCACATGTGCTTTGCAGAAGGCAGAGCGCCATCTGGTGGAACAGAAATCAACTAAACATTGATTTAGCCTGAGGGAACAGGCTAAATCAATGTTTAGTTGATTTCTGTTCCACCAGATGGCGCTCTGCCTTCTGCAAAGCACATGTGCTCCTGGTCAGGATATGCCATTTTTTATATTGATTTCAACACCTGATCTTTTTATCTTTTATTTTTTTTATTTCGTTTTTTAATGTGCTAAGCGTATTTACGCAAGTTTGGCCTTAAATACCCATTTCTTGGTTTTTCGGGAAGCCATTGGGATCAAAAAATTCTTTTTTGGTCGCAATGGGTCAGCCTACTCCACGCTGACGAGCGCCAAAAAGCGCGAAACGCGTTCGTGGATGGCTTTTCTTGATTTATCAAGAAATTGGGTTGGCCAAATATCAGGGAACAGGCTAAATCAATGTTTAGTTGATTTCTGTTCCACCAGATGGCGCTCTGCCTTCTGCAAAGCACATGTGCTCCTGGTCAGGATATGCCATTTTTTATATTGATTTCAACACCTGATCTTTTTATCTTTTATTTTTTTTATTTCGTTTTTTAATATATATATATGTTTGTCGGCTGAGCACGTCCTCAATATGTAACTAATCTCGCTGAAATTTGAACAGGACAGAGAGTTAAATCTGGAAGAGGTTTGTTGTCGCACTTTAACCAATAAAAATTATATTTAACCAAGTACTGAGCAACAATATTTTTTCAGTCAGAAATGATGATGACAATATTTCCGTATCATACTTGATTGCATTAAAAAATTATTTTGGGGAAATTTCACTAAAGCAGACCACAGGTAAAGCCAGATAATGATTAATAGTAGGCAGGAACAAAATTCTACCAGCGAAACATTCACTCTAGCAGAAGTCACACGAAGCCAGGTCATCTCTATATATATAATATCGTTTCTTGGCCTTTTGGCTAAGATCATGTAGTATATCTCTATATATTTTTATTTATGTATATCTTTTTAAAAATCTATTCAGTAGAGAGTGGATATGTTTGCTCGAAAAATAAATTTCATATATTATATAAATATATAACATAACGAATTATATTATCAAAATATTCTGTGTGTTCCCGAATATTATTATCAATAATATTCGTTAGGCAAACTTTCACTCGGATAAAACCCGGGCGAAGCCGGGTACACATCCGCTAGTTTATATTTAAATATAAAGATTACTCATCATAATAGACCATTCAAATTCAGTTTTCTTTTCTATCGAAGGGTTAATATAAACTCGTTAGAATATTAAATATCCCTAGTACACATTGTACAGTAAATGATAATCATGGTGCGTATAAGTTGACAACTGCTTTTACTGTGAATGCACCACATGTCTACACATATGAAAATCAGTTCGACTTTTACACTTCCAAATGTGCCATAGCCCCTTTTGAGTACTTACACTCGCTATTGGGATTGGAATTTAGCGAAAATCGGTGATATTTTGAGTATTTTTCAAATTAGAAAAAAGTTCTCAATGCGGGATTCGATCCCAGGTCGTGGTTAAGAAAACGACGGTTTAGACCAATCGCCCACCGACCCACACTGACCCTAAGCTTGAGTTCTTATATTAAAACCTAAAAAAGAAATTTATCAATGAAATAATCTTTGATTTATTTATTCTACTAGCGGGTGTGTACCCGGCTTCGCCCGGGTTTTATCCGAGTGAAAGTTTGCCTAACGAATATTATATATTATGAAGTATAATAAACAATGCTAAAGATTAGTTTTAATTATTAATCAAGATTGTGTGTGAATATGTGAGAAAGATGTAATATCGTTGTTGTTTTCTTGGCCGACTGTTTTACATATGGTGTTATCTTAAAATTGCTTGTTTTGAATATTTTTTTAGATTAGTTGAATGAATTGCTGAATTTTTTTTTTGTATTTATATATGAATAAAATTAACTCTGTTGATTTTTTTTTGTATTTAATCGATAACAGCGAAGTTACGCATGTTAAAGTTAGGAAAAATATTTTGATGTTAAGCAAAACCTGCTCCATCTCGTTTTACATAAATGTTGAAAATTTGGTCGAAATTGATGCATTGTAACGAAAGTTTTTAGCGAACACCACTTATGAAATTTCCATTTATATAGAAGATTTAATATAAATGAGTTTTAAAAATTGTTTAAAAAAAATGCATCGGCCGGGAATCGAACCCTGGCCGCCCGCGTGGCAGGCGAGCATTCTATCACTGAACCACCGATGCTTTAAAAAAATCAAATTCATTTATCGTCGCGACCAGTGCTGCGCCCTAGCGGTAAAAGACTGGAACTAACGCTTTTTGGTTTTTTATTTTTAAAAAAAAGCACATTAACTTTTTTAGTTTTTTGAATAGCCTATATGTTAAACGAAATCTTCAGCTACCTACATGCGAAATTCCATAATGATTGAGTCAGTAGATTTTGCGTGATGCGATAACAAACATCGATTTCGCATTTCATTTTTATATATATAAGGATTAACTAGCGCATTACGTTATTCCATTAGAAATACTTACACAATAACATTTTTGTTTACTCATATCTTTGTTTTTATTATAAAAGAAAATGCAAATAAAATAAACATTTACAATTTAAAATAAAAAAAACTTAAATGATCGCAACACTTGATAAAATTGGAAGAAATTTCTAAAAGCAAATAATGAAAGTATTCCAATAAATTTACCGAAATGATTCTCTAATAAGGCCAACTGCTATATTAACTGATGAATATTTATAAACGCCCTGCGTTCATTAAGTTTTCTTTGATATGGAAATAAGGTCAATTAACGAGGGCTAGAATTGAACGTCCTTCCTAGAAAAAAAAATCGATAATTGATAATTAAAGACAAGGCTAATTAGAAATTTCAGCTAAATAATTAGTTTTTTCAACAACGTTTATAGAGAGCTTTAACTTTTCATTACATTAATAATAATATTCCTGGGTATATATGTCTGATTCTATTTTTTATGTATGGTTCTGTATAATATATTCGTCAATTATGATCATTATTGAATTGAAAAAAAAAACAAACTCTAGAGGCAATATGGTTATAATTTTAACCATAAAGATATTATAAAAAACAATGATATAAATAAATAAATAAAAATGAATATATAAGTAAATAAACAAAATAATTAAATGCCCACATCATTCTTCCCCTGGCTGCCCATGAACTTGTAACTGTATTATAACACTAATGTACCCTTCCAATTTATACTTTATAACCTTTCTTTAACTATCTGTCTTTAACTATCTGCTCACTCTAGTATCCATAACCTGTACATATCCGGGACTCACCTCTTGACTTGCTCTCCTTACCAGACCCACCTTTTTCACTTAACCTTCTTAAGATGAGCCCGGAAAAGTCCCCAGAGGACTTAAGCGGGCGATGTAAGTGTAACCCGTCCACATTTTGGGGCGGATGTTGTTGTTGTATTGTGATCATTATAATATTTTGTTAATAATTTATATTTGTGAATATCAGCTAAAATTCATGTTAGTAAAAAGCATGTATACTGTGAATATAAATCCACTAAGTTACATCTAGAAATAGGTGTTTACTATATTAATCCTGTGAAAAACAGTACAAATGTGAAATTGTACTGGGATAAGATGGATATATAGAGGAAAAAGTATCTTCTTATCGTACAACTGAAATTTGCTGATGGTTTACCCCATCTGTCGGAATAAATATCAACTATTCGTTGTATCAACGAATAGTTCATATTTATTCCGACAGATGGCGAAACCCATCAGCAACTTTCAGTTGCACGATAAAGAGATGCCTTTTTATTAATGTGTTACTATTGGAGAAGTATTATTATTATTACACGTAGTACAGGCAATGTATATGATAGTGGGAAGTAGTTTACGACTCTTTTTACAATAAATACTTCACATGTTTATACATGTGAAAAGTGCAGTTCGACTTTTGCACTTACAAAGGTGCCAGAACTCTGTTTGATTACTTGCCCCAATTGTAGGGGGTTTAGACTTTTTTTATTAGGAAAAAAAAAAGACCAAAGCGGGATTCGAATCCGGGTCGTGGCTTTCTAAAACCGGTGCTTACTACCACTTGTCCGCCGACTCTATTGGTATGATTGGCATGGTATGAAAATATGGAGTACCTATACGAATGTAATCAGTGTAGGATATCTAGGAACCTATCCTACCTATATCTCTAGATACGCTAATATTTTACATATTCCAAGTTTACTGTATACAAGCCATGATAATCATGATTAGTAGTTAGTGACTGCATTTTACTCAAACAAATGCCACAGGTCTCTAAAGATGAGTTTCCTTTATTTTTATCAAACCTTATCTCGACTTTCGGACATTTCTGTCTTTCTACAGGAGAACATAAATAAATTTTTATGTACTCCTGTAGAAGGGCAGAGATGCCTGAAATCTCGAGAATACGTTTAATAAAGATAAAGATAAACGCATCTCCAGTATATCCCTATAATAGCCAAAGATAACTTAATTTTCAAAAAACGATGGAGGTTTCCTTATTCTTAAGGATCTCCTCAACACAGGCTTTGGGGTTCCTTCTGAAGAATCAGTTTCTTGAACAGCCGGGGGTCTTTCAAACTCAGGTGTCACTTGAGGGATCGATGATGTAGATGCGTAAGGCTTCACACTCCCCACAACCTCTGACTTGATCTAAATGCCGGTTTACAATTTCTCCGTCATCTGTCTCTACCTTAATAGAGACAGGACCAGTTTTTTCTTGCACTACACTTGGTAGCCATCTGGGGCCATGGTACCCTCGCGCTATAACTGCCTGTCCTTCATTTACTACTCTATGGGGTTTCCAATTTCTTATAAACCTGTCTTCCTGTCGTATCCTTCCCTCAGACACACTTTCAGAATGAAATTTATTTATGAGACTCTTCAAGTTTCTGTTCATCAACAACTGAGCTGGAGATTTTTGCGTCGTGCTGTTTATCGCTATTCTCATCGATAATAAAAATCTAGATAACCTAGTCGTCCAATTTCCCGAGCTGTTCTTTCTTAGCAGATTTTTAAGCGTCTGAATAGCTCTCTCCACCTGCCCATTTGACGCTGCATGATAAGGCGCACACAAGATTTGTCTTACGCCATTTCTTTCTTTTTAAGAAATTCTTTAAAAGTTCCGATGTGAAGGACGTACCATTATCTGAAACTATCACATCCGGCAACCCGTGAGTCGCGAATATTTCCTTTATACTATTGATGGTAGTTTCAGTAGATGTTGTAGATACGATTTTAGCCTCAATCCACTTAGAATAGGCATATACTACAACCAGAAAAAGTTTTCCTTGAAAAGGACCCGCATGATCAATATGTAGTCTCGACCAAGGTCTTGATGGCCAAATCCAAGGATATACGTCAGTTTTTGGCGGATCGTGACTGCACGAAAAACAAACTGCACAATTGGATATCATCCGTTCAATATATTTATCCATCCCGGGCCACCAGCATAATCCTAGAGCTAGCGCTTTTGTCGCCACTATGCCAATATGAGTATCATGTAACAGATTTAAAATATCTTTTCTTAATCTTTCAGGTATAATCACCTTGCTCCCCCACAATAAACAATCCTTATGAACTGATATTTCATTAGATTTGAAGACAAAATCTTTAAATTTATCATCAACTTTCCTTTCAGGCCACCCATTCATTGCCCAGAATTTAATCTTAGAAAGGATTGGATCTTTACTAGTTAGTTTTGCCACTTCCGAAGAATTAATTGCAGCATATTCTGATTCAATAAAAAAACCTCCGGTGGGTTTGGAATTTGGCTTGGTGACTCATTTAATGGCAGTCTGCTCAGTGCGTCCACATTTCCATTTTTAATTCCTGGTTTATATTCAATGGTATATGTATATGCAGAAAGAGTTAGACACCATCTCATCATGCGAGGCGATAGTACTTGTGGTATCGGCTTGTTCGGGTTGAAAAGACCAACTAGAGGTTTATGGTCTGTTAAAATTTTGAATTTTCTCCCCAGAAGATACTGCGAAAACTTAGAAACAGCAAAAATAACTGCCAAAGCTTCTCTATCGATTACTGCATATCTTCTCTCAGTTTTATTTAAAGTTCGGGAGACAAACACAACTGGTCTTTCAATACCATGGTCTATTTGCGACAAAATGGCTCCAACATATACTCCGACGCATCACAGTTGACCAAAATAGACAGATCTTCACTAAAATGTGCTAAAACAGACCTAGAACTAATCAAGTTTTTAACCTCTACAAAAGATCTTTGATGTTCTTTATTCCATTTCCATGGATTATTACTGTACAACAGTCTATGGAGAGGTTTAGCTACTGTGGCTTTATTATTCAAAAACCTCTCATAATAATTAAGAAGTCCAAGAAAAGACATCAATTCCCTTTTATTTGAAGGTGGTTTAGCATCTTTCATAGCTCTTAATTTCTCCTCGGATGGACGTATTCCTTTATGATCAATAATCATTCCTAGAAATTCGATTTCTGGAACATGTTATTTGCATTTTTCTCTTTTAAGACGAAGTCCAGATTCCATGAAGCGCAGCAGTACCTTTTCAGTTTTTCTTTTAAGATCATCACAATCTCTTCCTGAAATCAGGACATCATCTAAATACACTGCAACTCCATCAATTCCACTCAGAAGAGTATCCATGAATCTCTGGAATGTTCCCACGGCTGAATTTAAGCCAAAAGGAAGACGCTTCACCTTATATAATCCTATAGGTGTATTAATAGCGAGAATTTCTGCAGATGTTTCATCCACTTTCAACTGCTGATATGCTTGAGCCATATCCAACTTAGTAAACACTCTGCCACCTCTCAATCTATCCAAAAATTGCGGAATTGTGGGCAGTGGGTATTTATCAGGATTACTATACAAATTTACTGTAATTTTATAATCGTGGCATATTCTTACAGTGCCGTCATTCTTTAGGACCGTCACAATTGGTGATGCCCATTTGGTAAGTTTAACCGGTTCAATAACCCCTTGGTCTTCCAGTGATTTTAATTTTTCATCTACTAGTTCTCTCAGAGCAAATGGCACGGTTCTGGCCTTTACAAATTTAGGTTCTGCATTCTCAGGAATGTCAACATGGATCAAAGGTCCATTTCAATATGATTCAAAAAAATTATCTTTAGGCGAAACGCTTCAAACCACTGCCTTCCCAGAATGTCGGGACCCAGACCATCAGCCACTAAGATTGATAATTTTTCAAAACCATTT